CTTTTTAGTTGTTACCCAACTTTCACTTCCATATAGAAGAATTGGCATGGCCATAATCTTCTCGATTTTTTTGGCCTAATGTACTAGTTATTGGGCCGCAAATATATTGAAATTTTTTGATCTTATTTTCTACATCATTATCTCGTTCTTAACTAACATCATAACCGAGATAATTGAATTGTTCTATACTTGTTCTATAATTTCATTTTCTATTACAATTTTTGATCTCACAGGGTGTTTCCCATAAAATAATGATGATAATAATAATAATTATAATAATGATATAAATAATGATAATAATAACAATAAAAATGTTAATATTAATGACGATTGATAGGTTTTTGTTTGCGGCAGTGGCTGACCGGGCATCTTGGACGGCAGCGCTTCCACGAAGAGGAGGCTGCTGGTGCTGCTCTCGTCCTGCGCGCGCCGCGACGTGCAGGGCTCGCGCGCCAGCGAACGCGCCCGCCTCTGCGCATGCGCGTAGGCCGCGTGCGGCGCCGGCGACGGCGGCAGGTGCGTCGACGACCACACCTTCCTGAAGCGCACGCCCACGTCGCTTCATTGCTTCTCAGCGATTCTGCTAAACGCGTTAGCTCCGTAACTGTAGTGCATGACTTTTTGTTCGTGAGGTAGCGGTGTTCTTCTGGATGGCGAGATACGGCGCCGACCTACCGTGGGCTAGCGAGGTTTTCCCCATCCAAGTACCTCCCACTAGCAGGACACTACCCCAGCCGATGCAAGCTCTAAGCTCCAGACCGGTCTCCCGGCATGTGTGATAGTGCAGTGCATGTAAGTAAGGGATGATTATAGGACGAAGAAGAGGAAGGAATGATCGCGCGCGGTCCGTGGCTAGTTTGTTAGGGTATTGTTCCTGCATTCGTATGGTGTGTGTGTGTGTGTTTGGAGAAACCACGGAAAACTACCGTCGAGCCTCGAATTCTTGAACCTCCTCGTCAGAAGCACTGCAGTTACATTACGTGATGCTTAAGCAACCTTTGCCGGTAGTCTACGGAGATGTGTGGTATTACAGTGCATGTAAGTGAATGTGTGAATGTGTGTAAGTAACTGGTGAGGATAGGGCAAGAAAGAGGGAAGAAAGATCCCTGTCATTGGTCAGGTGTTGATCGACGAAACTACGGCAAATTACGGATAAGAGTGTCCCACTGCTAGAATTCGACCTCGATCTGTGATTAGTGTCGATAATCGTGCCACCGTGGGAACTCGAACCCTAGGACCTCACGGTCCGAGGCACTGCAGTGTCATCAATTGATTCCCTGAGCCACTTCAGCCGGAGATTTTGGAGAAAATGAGTGAGTAGAGGGTAGGAGAGTAATAGTACGCGGTAAAAAAACACGCTAGCTTCATATATTACCAATAAATGATTTATTTAATCTTTTTGGCCTCAAAAGCACAGTTTCCCCTGGAAAGTGTAAGTTTTTTGATTTCGTCGCAGACTGTGTATCACAACAACACCAAGAATCGAAACGTTTAGCCCTCACTTAGCTACTGCAATACTGACTAGCGCGAGGAGGATGCAGTACTTACCGTACTACTCTACGTTTTACGGAGGCGGGCTCTTCGGAACCGGTAGGCTCTGAGAACAAGCAAATTATTTACGTAACAACATCATAAAAATTTGAATAAATATTTTCTTTTATACGGGCTGTGCATTGGAGAACAATAATTTGGACTGTGTGTTATGAATCTTAATTATTCACAGATTGAAGCCTTACAGAACTCAGGTAGGGGGAGGTCTTGATGAACATCTAAATTATGGATGAGGTGCGTAATATACGAACATGCAGACACATTTTAATAAGACCATGTTGTACATTAATATTCCACCAGCAAGATACTATGAAAGAACACTAACACAGTTGAGCACCAGTGAGTATTTGTTGATATCAGAGGAAAATAACGCTTCTCTTCATTGCTAAAACCATGTATTCTCCAATTAAAATGTACGTGGAATTATCGTTTGATCAGCTGGAACGCGATTATCCTATCGGAAGATGTAATTTCAAAATGAAGTTGTATCTAAGCGTTCTTGGATAATCGTCACCCAGCAGATCAAACGTGAATTCCACTTATATTGCTGAGAATACCTACTACGGATAAGAGGAGAATACTATAGAAACTACAACACTTCTCGGGATCGGTACCCAAGTAAGGGAAAATTCTCCATTAAATATTGTGCATATTGTTCTTATGTTACCGCAAGATTCGAATTTTTGTTAGTTAAAAAACATGTTTAGATTTAACACACTTTTTGTTATTTAATGTCGCATCAACATCTAGGTCATTAGCGACTATTATTGCATTTAACGGTATGGAAACGGTGAAAATGACATGATATGATAGGGGGTGAAAGGACGAGCACAAATACAACCATTCCCGAGGCGGGACTCGAACCCTCGATCCTACGGTACTGCTGTCTTAATGATCTCGTCCATCCGGACAGGCTGTCAACACATTCCTAGTGGTAGTTAAACATTATCTAATCATTTACATAACATTATGAAGACAACTCTCTTCAATCTAGTAAAGTGAATTCAGTAACAATAACAGGAACTTACGTGAACAATTTTAGTTGTTAGATCTCTTGTTTTTATACCTAACATAAATTACGTCAAAATATTTGCATTCTTTTCTGAGCTATTGTACAATGTCTCTAGATTCAAATCACGTTTTATGCGTTCTTACCACCTAAAGTTAAAACTCTGTTGGCAGTTCATGGCTGAGAGTACGAAGATGTAATTCTTTAAAGGTACAATACATTTTTAAAATAATATTGCAAAAGCACGGAAATACTCTTATAAAGTCATACGGGAAAACTATATTGACGTTTATGGAATTATAGTAGTACGCTCTCAAAACAATATTTTTTCCAACAATAACCTATAAGTCATTGCAAACATTAGGAACTGCTGTGTATTATGCTTCTTGTAAAGATCAGCTGGAGAGAATTCGGTCTTACGGAAATAGTAACTTTCCGGTTTAGCTCACCCTCCTCGCGGATATTGTTGTCAGACGAGTCGTAGGTGGTTCTCTGCTTGCGAGCGAATCCCAGGGCTGCCTCAGAGTCATTATTGGTGAGGGCTTGTGTGGTTGTGTTCGGTCGCTGGAGTCCAGTCATTTGAGAAGACAGGTCCCTCGCACCTCCTGCAGACGTTTGCTGCTTTGCTTCCTCAGAAGGAGAGT